TACATGTATGTTTGTGCATGTCCATTTGAGCGAGTGGGTTTGTGCATGTTTGTGGATTTGTTTAAAGTCCTAGGATTGTAGTTTGTGTTTTCATGATCCTTTTTGCGAATGCTGTTTTGCGTGAGTAGTTTTGTGCATGATTTTGTACTTTAACTTATGTGCGTATCCTTTGTAGCGAGTGTTTTTGTGCACGTTTCTTCATGCGCATTCGTGTCCTTGAACTGTAGCGGGTATTTTCATGATCGCTGTTGGAATCCAATTTTGACCATGTTTGTAACACCCCACGTTTTCAAAACACGATAATTTCTAACTCATAAATCTCTAGTCAAGTAAATACTAAATTTTGCTAATAATAGGGCTATACGTGAATTATTATGTGCCGAATTATTAGATATCGAATTTTATACGTGACCTTATGTGCCTATGTGTTTACGGGTAAATTATACATGCATGCTAGGACTTAGCATAACTATCATAATACATAATATATATGTATGTATATGTGTCGTATATGTGTGTGTATTTTAGGGGAGGATTATTTAATAATTATAAAATAAATACATGATAATCCTAAGCCTAGCCTAACCCCTATTAAAACCAATCCTACACTCCATCTCAAGCATGCCTATTTAGAAGGCCAAGAGTCCCTTCTCTCCCCCTCATTTCGGCTGCACCAAACCCCTCTCTCTCTCCCTTGTTCTTTCCTTCTTTAAACCACCGAAACCACCATTGTCATCAGCTCCACCAAGCTCGAACCACCCCCCAAATCAGCAAGATATTTCTCAAGCCAACAATGAGAATTCCCTATCTCACCCTTGCCCTTGAATACTCCAAGAACACTATATATACATGGTGCCCCTTCACTAGTGAAAACACTTCTCACCTTGAAATTTATACCGTGTCCTTCCATATCAAAGTAGCTTGGTTTAATCTCAATGCTTGAAGAGGTAAGAGCTGCCATTCGAAGTCTCAAACTCTTCCTTCTTCTTCGTTCATTTTCTTCCTCTAACTCTCGGTTTTTCTTTGAAGGTTCCCTAGAACCTTCCCCTTTTCAGCTAGCTTTTATTCCTTTCTATTTTTGAGGTAAGGAATCGAAATCCTTGCTGCAAATGGAGGTATCAAAGTATCAAGAACAAAAATTTCGAAATTAATTAAAAAACACCCCTAATTCGTGTTTTATGTTTTTCTTGCATTTAATGGTTCCTTTTTGTTAGTTCATATGATTTATGTTATTGCATGTATGATCAGAGGTCTTAAATGGTAGATTTGAGTTAATGTCTTTCAAGAAATTTCAGTTATTTCGGAAATAGTGAAGAAAATTTAATTTGGGAAAAGTTTTGTGGTTGCATGTATAAATCTGCATTCTTTTGGGCCAGATCTGTAATTTGTGAGAAGTCAGACTCATATGAGTTTTCAAAACTGGTTTTTAGCATTTATTGAACGGAAATTCCAGATTTAAGAAAGTTTTGAAAGGAAAAGTAATTTTTTGAAACTCCTAGTGGTCTTGCATGTATGGATCTAAAGGTTTTGGGGTGAAAAATGGAATTTTTTAAGTTGTTGCATAAATCAAGTTTTTTTTTTAGTTTCATTTTCTGCATATATTGAACAAAGATTTCGGTTTTGGGGGTTGTTTATGAAGAAATGGATTTTGAAATTCTAGTATGGATGCATGAGCCCTTAGTGAAAAGACAATTCCAGTTTCCAAGAAGTTTTGTAAGAAAAAGGATTTTTGGGAATTTCTAAGGGTCATGCATGTATAGATCTAGAGAGTCTAGGGTGAAAAATGTAAATTTCGAAAAATCTGCATAAATAAACTTCTAACTGTATTATTCTGCATTTATTGAAACTTAAGATGGATTAAGCGTTGAAATCATGAATATCTGAATTAGGAACTTTTAGCTTAATTGCATGTGTGAGTTTTGAAACTTTCGGGGTCAAAACTGTAATTTCCAGAAATTTAGGGGTATTGTGCTGAATACCCGAACTCTTTTAAGTTGATGTGTTTTTCTTGATCCTAAATTAATTAGAAAAGAAAATTTGGGATTTAGTAGCTTAAGGAAAATATAGGAATTAAATGGATCTTTACTAGTCTTGTTTAGAATTTTGGTTATATATGGGTAAACATTCATGAATGCATAATTCGATGTGTGATGATGATAAATTCTTGTGTGTTATGTGGTTGTTTGTCACTTGATTGATATTTGTGATGTCTTGTGGTGTTTTACATTTCTTATGGGTTGTTGTGGAATATTGATACATTTATGTACTCAACCGAAATTCTAAATACTTCGGCCGTGCCATTTTGTAATTAAATAAAATAAATTGGGGAGATTAATGAAATACTTAGAAAGGATGAGAAAGGATACGGGGGGGCCGGTATTCCAACCATAGATACTACAGTTGGGTGGTTTGATTCCACCGAAAACGGGCTCAGAATAATCTTCTTATTTTCTAAGTAAAGGAGTTAATTTCTCATCGGATCCGATAAACTGAAAAAGCTTTCTTACGTACACGAATTTTGAATGCTAGAAATATGCATTATATTTAACTGCATTTCAGTTGTGTGGCTATATATATATAATATATGTAGTACGACTATATTTTTTAAAGTCTCGGTATCTTTCGAGATCCTTACTGAGCTTTGTTAGCTCATATAGATATTCTCCGTTTGCAGGTATTAGTACTACTCACTCCACCGGATTGGACTAGTCGACGGTTCGAGAAGCCGACTCCGGGTTTTTGGCTCGTATGGAGGATCTACTTATAATGCTTGTAGTGTTGTCTTTTGTGTATATTGTCCTTAGGACAATTACTATTTCCGTAGTAGCTCATGTGTATTATTATATGTGGTAAAGGAGGCAAATTCCTCCGAATATGGGCCCCTTTTTGTTAAACTATGGTCCATTTATGTAGAATGAACATGTTGTTTTGATTACGGACTCTAAACCCTTTTATTACTATGTTTTATCAAGGTGACACCACTTATAGTCTATATTAGTGATTAATCGAGTAGTTTAGATATATGTTCCTCCATCCCACTAAATCATTCGCCGAACATTCTTCCGAAGTCAACCCCGTCTTTAAGTCTTAGGTCATGTGAAATATATCGGTTCGATAATCCTTGGAGTCTACCCATATATCTCAACACTTATATAACACCTTTAAAGCTTCCGTGCATGGCAAACCCTCTCGGTTTGCTATACGATTTCTAGGGGGTGTCACAATGTTCGAGTCCGAATTTGGAAATTTGACATTAGAAAGGAATTGTAGCCACCTGAAATAGCTTTCTAATGCCGCCGGAACCACTCGATTTGGAGTCCGGATGAGAAAGTTATGCTCGACTTCGTGGACACTACCGAAGATGTTGAGGGATCAAATCCTTGAAAGAGTGGATCAAATCCTTGGAAGTAATCTTTGATTACATGCAAATGGATGACCGTGAACGAGTGCACTGTGCCCTCTTTTTACTTCGTAACGAAGCCCGGAACTGGTGGGAGGGAGCTAAGGAAGGTATTGAACTCGAGAACTTGTCATGGGAGTCATTCAAGGTCCAATTCTTCGAGAAATACTTTTCCAAGGACGTTCGGGCCAACAAACTCAAGGAATTCTTGGAACTTCGCCAAGGGGATCTCACCATGACCGAATACGTTCGACTATTTGAACGAGGATGCTTGTACGCCCCATTCATCGCCAAGGACGTTGAGGAAAAGAAAAATCACTTCACAAGGGGTTTACAACCCGAAATTCGAAGGGACATCCGCATGTGCGACGGCACTACCTTTCGCCAAATGGTGGACAAGGCACTAACGGCTGCTCAAGACGAAAATGAAATTCAGCAAGGGAAACGAGCCCAGCCACCCACACCACGACCATGGAAGAAGGCCAATTTTGGAAATCACAAATTCAAAGGAAAGAAGGTCCAAAGTCCAAACCCTAAGCCAGTAGCACCGACGATCAAGCCAACTTGCTCGAACTGCGGAAAGGCTCACTTTGGGATCTGCGTAAAGGATACCGAGTTGTGTTTTCGATGCAAAAAGCTCGGCCATAAGGCGAGAGACTGCCCCAACGCTCAAACTCGAGTCCCAGGCCGCGCGTTTGCCATGACCCGAGTGTTAGAGTAGGTGACCAACAAGCCAACTTGTGGCTGTGGTCTTTCGTATTTATTATTGTAATAAACGAACCTTTATTCGTATTAATGATAAAACACCTTGGTATTCTATATCTTTGTCCCTTTGTCACAAGCATAGATATAGTCCTTACAGTTATTACAAGTACTAGTAATTGATCGTTAGGATCGTGAGATATTTACTTAAGAATTATAACTGTTAAACGTGTTCCTAGTCGAAGGGTTACGCCACTAATGAGGATATCGGCCTTTCCCATGAAGACTAGCACTTAGTGTATGTGTACAGCATCTCATCAGTATACGGTATTGTGAAATCGGCATGCATAAGTGGGTGCTCGTAAGTTGACGAGTTCACTGAACTCCCTCACCCTAGAAATCTCTAAGTGGTTCCCAATAATCGAGTAGAGATATCTATGGTATAGTTGTACACCATTAGTCCTTATGACCTAGACATCACCGTGACTTCACTAGAGGACTAGCTGTATCGTGACCTGTCCCTGAGTTCCACCGAGGACCATCCCAAGGGCCAGTGTTCGTGCAGTCCGAAATCTAGTGGGAGGTCTGTGCATTGTAGTCGGGGATTCGATCGCTAGAATAGTCTTGGATGTCCTGTGTGTTCTGAAAGTTTGTAATCATTCTAAGTCTCTGGCCAGAGCTGACTAAGTGATGATTAGAGAATTCGATTCTCTAAGTCATGCACGTAAGGATTACAACACTTGGAACGATCGCACCGTCATCGAACATATAAAGAGGTCTCGATGAACCAATGCCTCTAGTTCGATCGGGACATATGAATCGAAGGGACCGTACTGTACGTTAACTATATCTGAAGGTTCTTGCAGGCACTTCATTTGTATCTAGGGAATCATGACGCGTAGTTGCTAGACGCCAATCTTGATTCGTTGGGTGATTAAGGTGAAACGAGCTTCATCTTAATCGTAACTCGAAGGGGACGAGTTTTGACCACAAAGGGTTGTGGGCCCACGGCTAGCTTACACCTGAACCATCGAGGGTCACACTGCTCGTGCACATGAGATCTTTGAATAAACGGTCAGAGATAAAATAGTTTATCTTTGCATGATTGGAAGTCAATATGATTGAGTCCAACATTCGTAATTTGGAATTATGAATGAGAATAAGAAAAGGAAAAGAATAGGCGAACGTGTTAGTGAACTTTCTAAATCGGGATGTTTCCAAATTTAGAAAGCGCACTGAACTAGGGTTTCCACTTTTGGAAAGTTGGAAAATGAAAGATGGCACTCGTAATGACGAGAATATTATAATGATTCCGAAAATGTAATTGTTGCAATTTTCCGATCATTGGATTAAGAGAGACGAGAAAGTAAAGATACTAACGGACTTAGCGGCCTGCTAATCGTCCCCTAAAGCCCGCTAGGGTT